TAAAACACATGTCAAAATTAATTAGTTATGTTTAGCTTCAAGTAATGCTTGTGTACAGAAGAAAAATGAAAATTTTCTTTCTTCATAAGTCATTCTACCAAACATTGCAGTAGCACCATGTTGGTGTACATGAATTAGAAAACAAAGCACTTGTAAGAAATTGGCCTACTAACAAAGCTCAGACATTGAAAAGCATGAATAAAGAGCATAAACAGGACAGAATAACTATTAAACCAGATTGTGCTTGCACTTGGTCAACAGGAAAGGGAGGAATTAACCACTGCAACTGTCCCAAAGTTGTCAGAGGAAAAGGAATAGAACTAACACATCCAGAAGCCTGGTCAAAGAGACTCGTGTTTTCAACCCATGTTTCCCCTTCCCCCCACCAAAGCCTTTCACCACTTGGAGTAATGCTTGACTGAAATGGTGTTGACAGCTATTCTTTATGACACCTTTTGTCAGTCCAAGCTACAGAATTAACATGAAGTTTCCCTGAAAGTTAAAGTGGCTTCATTCAGCATTGTGCCAACCTTCTGGAGGTGACAGAAGAGGGTACAGATGTGGACTAAATGTGAGAACAGTATACTATGTCATATAAAGGAAATGAACTCAAGAGAATGAATGGTGTGAATGATGCTATCTACAGATGTCACCAGATGTACTTTCCCATGGATGCAAGTACTTGCATTTTAACAGACACTGTGACACCCCCCTGTGTTCTTGCTTGTCTTCTTTTCCAGGCAAGAGATGCCTAAAGTTTTCCACTCCCTTATGAATGCTAAGTATTTATTCACACTTTTGCACATGTGGAGGACTAACTGGTAAGAACTTTATACTAGCTCTGCTCAGGTTCAGTTACATAAATCAAAGTCAGAGAAATACCAAACAATGATATCCTAAGAAACATTAATCTTTTGGTCTATTTTTTAAATGAAATACTAGATTTAGAGTAATAATGCAATGCCTAATTATAAAAAGTCATATGCTTAATTGAATTTGTTTTCAGTTTCTGTCCATGCATTCCTTAATGTGTCTATGAAGCTCCCTAAGGCTACCATAATGCAAAGTTGAAAATGTACTCCGTAAGCCACAATGATCATAGATGACCATAACATTACAAGTGATAGGTCTCGTACTATAAAAAGCCAGTAATTTCTCTACTCATAGATTTCAAAATTAGTGTGTTTGTCACTTGGGAAAAATGTATGCTTTGCTTTTAGCAGAAGTCCTAGAACCGGTAGGTTTTTCAGTGCTTCTGTGGTGCTATGAGCCATAGTTGCCAAGATCTTAATTCTTAAATTAAATCCTATTACAGAGAAAAAACACTGCACATAATTAAAATAATTTTTTACAATTCATTACTGCATAAATAGATTAAAGGAATTTAAATCTTTTGGTATTAAAATCTAATGATAAAGATACAAATGGTTATCATAGCATAAAAGAAGCAATTTATACTTTTTAAGGTAAATGACACGAGCATACTTATCTTAATCAGAGACGTGGACATTCAGATCAGAAAAATGTTACAAATATACCATTAAATGCTGTAAAAGCAACAATATTTTAAATACAGTATTACAAGCATTTTAGTTCTAAAAAACAATGCTGATATTAAAAGTATATAAAACCATGCATCGCTCTATAGCTACACTGGACAATTACAGGCATCTGCTCTAGCTAGAAATCTCACCTTAGTTCCATTTTCCTTTCTGTATCGACATTTGTTTAAGGTTGAAGAATTAAGTATCTCAAGTATTATGTTTGCTAAGAGGCTCTTAACTTAACGTAAAGTTGTCTTCCCTAATACAGATGCTACTCGATAGCCTGGAAATTGCACGCAGGTTCCAATGACTAAATTTATTTCATACTGGAATAGAAAAGTGAACTACTTGCTGCGACACAAGGTGTTTATTGACTAAATGAGCCTTTGCCATGATACAACTGAAGGTACACAACTAGAGCTTTATTGCCACTGATAAATAATCTCTATGAACAATGATTTCATTAGGTTAATACTAAACCTCATATTGTCTCTTTGTGCTCAGTAAAATTGGTGCAGTAATGGTAAGGGTAACAGGGATGGTATCAAAGAAAATTTGGACTTGAGATACAATGGAAAGCTTTTCCTTTCATACCCTCTCAGTGCCAGCAGCCTTTCTTCAGTGTTGTCCAGGGTACTTTATGTTCTTTAAAGAATAGATTTCAAGCCATTACAAATCTCACATTTCAGCCTTCTTCAGTTAAAATTAGCATGTAGTTCTAAGAGCAGTACTAAGTAAAACAGGGCAGGAAAGCCAGCACTGTTAGTACAATCACTGCAGAGTGGCCAGGGCACTCAGTAACCTTTCAGAGATGGCATTTAATGCAATAGAGTTCACAATTCAGTTTTTTAGATTAGATTAACACTTGAATGCATTTTATCTGCCTGAAAAAGAGGCTCCCAAGTGAGATGCCACAAAGCTGGCAAAGGAGGAAAAAGAGACAGCTGGAAGAAAAAAATAGCAGTTTCAAATTACATAATTCTCTTTTGCCGCAAGAACGTAAGTATCCCACAACCACAAGGTTATTTTCCTCCCACAACTTCATCCCTCATTTTCTATCATAAACATCCAATGACTTGGTCAATACTTTTGACTTGGGCCCTAACCTTACACACTTGCATATACATTTAAGTTTACTCACATGAGTAGCATCATTGGCTGCAATGAGACAATTCACCAAACACGTAAACCTTTTAGGATCGCTGGCTTTGTTTTGTTAAGGTGAAGCAGGATGTTAAAATAACTTTGTTCCTGAAAGTTTAACAAGGAACTTTACAGTGGCAGGAAGAAGAAAAGAACCAAGCATTTCACAGATTCCTTAAAAGAAGCTGAAATTAATTTTTAAAAGACGCACTGAAAATGCTAACAGAAATACTCTGCTCTATCTCTTCATAGTGCAAAAAGAAGTTGTCCACGTTCTGAAACAGAGAATTTTAGAAAATTAAAATGAGTAATTTCAAACTAACACATTCTTCTCTCTCACACACTGTGCCAAACTGTGCATTATCAGAATTCTGATGTGCTTCTTTGAATGATTCATGGAACTCTTAACATTACAATATCTCACTGATACACATCCTGCTGGGATTTATTGACAATAACATTTTTAAAACTAAATAACCTAATGTTACACGCCCATGATGTCCTGAATTCACAGATCTCAGTATTGCAATACATTTTGAAACACCCAGACTTGCAACACCTGGCATCATAGGGGATATATGATTCTAACATGACATTAAATTCTTGTTCTGTCTATACATAACCTCTTTCCATATAGGAACATGTATATATTGAAAAATTAGTTATGCACTAGAAAACCTACAGCCATTTCAGAGTACTGCTTTATGGCTGTGAAGGATTTGTGAAATGGCATTTCTATGGATATGAGGTGTACCAATCAAACCAAAGGTCGATGCCACTAGCGCTAACAGCTCTCTCCTAGCTGTAATAAGGGGGGGTGGGGGTGGGTTTTTGGGGGGTTTTTTTTGGTTGTTTGTTTTTTTTTTTTAATGTATAACGTTTTCTGTCTGGCTTTCTTAAATATATTAGCCTAATACCACTCTGTGAGAGCTTTCTACAGATGGAAGCAATGAGAAATAAAATCACTGGATGTCAGCAGTGGAAGCACTCTCCTAAATCTGTGACAGAACCACATGACTCTCTTCTCTCAACCTCCTCTGCTTTTCACAATCTTTCAGGATCATCCTTCTCAATTAAAAGCCCAAGTCAGAATTCAGCTTATATTGTTTTAAACTATTTGACACCAAGTGTCCCCTCAAAAGGCAGACAATTATATGCTCTAATTCATGAACAGAATTATCCACTAACCCTAAGTAACACTGTTCTTCACAATTTTCACTTGAAAATTACGTATATAAAGCACTGGAAAGGCAAATTTAAAAGGAAAAAAAAGGGAACAATTATTTTTCTACTTAGAACATTACAATGTATTACCAATGTATTCCTTAGCTGTGACTAAATCACTTAAAGTATTTAAAACTAAAGAGTTTTTGATTACTGCAATGTTTGGGATGAGCTATTAGATTATAACTAAATACTAAAGCTATGTGTTGCACATGATAGACGTGACTACAGAAGACATCATATCTATTGGTTTTCCTCTTTTAGATGTGTGAGTTCAATCCCAGTGTCTATATGAAAGAAGTCTTTCAGTTCAGTAGGAGCTTTGCTCTCTGAAAAATAGGAAACAGGGTATTAGCAGCCTCCAGGACTCCAAGGAATGGAACAATTTCAACTTTCACTTTAGTCAATGGAAATTATGGCTAGATGGATGACGGTAAACAGCATGCAGAATCAGTTTCAAAAGTTGCTGCAAACAACTGCCACCTATTTTCTTACCACAGAAAATCAGCAGGATGCATCTCATGAGTAATTCACTTCAGCAGTAGCAAATATTCGCAGAAATGTTTCCAATTAATTTGATTTAGGTTGTCATAAAATTGAAAAATAAAATACATCAAAATTTGCACAAGACTCAATGAACATTTGAAGATAGTGTCAACTTGCACACATAACCTTTCCACCATTACGGCACTTAATAGTATAATGCATTTTGCAATTACTGAAGTAAAAATTTATATTGCACTTAAATAAATGTCTTGTAAAAAGCCAGTTATAAATTGCTTTGGTCTATTTGTAGCTTAATTTATCACCAAAATACAGAAAAATTATCAGGAAACCTGATAGTTCAAATGTGATTGTCAAAAAGAACGTGTATTTACTTATAAATACATTTTCTTTGTATATAGTATTATCACTTAAAAGAATACGCTTAATAGTAATAATAAATAAATGCTTTATTCAATTAAATTAGTGCAATCTTATCTTCACTCTGTTAAAATCAACTTTGAAAAGAGTTTGATCCTGTTGGGTCCTACTTGCTAGTGATACGTAGAGCCTTCTTTTACATTTTATGACAATTTGAACATATTACAATCAAACCGCCCAAAAACTAATAGAAATTAAGAAAACAACAGACAGACTGGCTAACCAATAACATTCCACGTTTGACATCGTATATGAGCTCCATTGTCTAACTGAGAATATTACTTGAAAATTAAAAAAATCTTTCCTGAAAACTGTAGACTGAGGAAGTGTTAGTAGAAATAACAAGAAAATAGAAAGAAAACCAACAAATCATTGTATTCAAAATGCTAGTCAGTCATTTCCAACAGGCGTTGCCTCTTCACTCCATTATTGCTTTTTGTATTTCAGAATTTCTATCATTCTAATCTTCTTAGAGAAATATGGTTCTTCATCTTGATAAATCTCCAATAAAACAAAAATATTATCTCCTTTGTTAGAGCAAAGGAAATAATACAGTCTATACAGCTGGTGGTCCTACATAGCCTGTCAATGTCCTAATACACTGATTGGTTCTTCTTTAACAGATGGACTGCGTTTCTGAAACAGTGTCAGAATATGGAAAGTTCTGAGGTGGTTTCTACTCTTTTTGTTAACGATGTGATATTTACAACAACAAACAAACTCCTGACTTAGCTTCACCTCCGTTTGCGTAACCGCCGGAATCTACTCTGTTAGGATCATTCAGTTCTTCAAACAGTCCCGTTTCAATAATTTCTTCCTGCCAGGCTATAGGGACAGCACCTGTTGCAAACTTTTTGAAAAACTTCTTATCTTTGTCATCAAACTCAATTCCTCGTATTTCAGAGAAGTCAGCAATGTCTGCAACATCTTTGGCATAGACAACTGATGGATCTGGCACAAATGGAGGGTCAATAAGGTTTGCCTCTAGCCTGTGGAAATTTATTGTTTTGAAGAAACCATGTTTTCTTGGGTCATCATCTTCATTTCTGCAATAAAGCAAAAGTTTGTTAATCAGTATGATGTTTTGCTCTCAGATAGATACAGGTGTGTCTTTGTGTTGTATACGTGAAAGTATTTTAAAGTAAGGAGATATATATATATATTAAAAAAAATGCAATGCTATTCATTTTTTCATAACCAAAGAATGCTGCATTGCACAATATAAGCAAAGCTGAGAAGGACAAAACATCCTGATCCCATTATTCATTACTCTGCCTCTCAGGGTGAATCAGTCCAGGCAAGATGCCATGCAAGAGTTGCAGTGCTGCTTCTGGCAGCACACTGAGATACCCATATACAAAGATACACTTTAACCAGAACTGAAGGTATAGCAGGATGGCGAGGGGGAGTATCAGATTTACTGTCCAACAATGAAAGTCCAATGGTTGGCTCTGTATTAACTAGGATAAGAATATCTATTAAACTCTAGACTGTGGTACATTGGGTCAATACATCTACAGACTGACTCTGAGGAACAACAGTGAATAGGAAACTAGTGACAAATGACATTTCTGGTTTTATCTTAATTCAAAGCAGCTATGCATTTACATACTAAAACTCAGTTATGTCACTCTAATAAACACTCCAAGTTTTAGTGTTTTGTTTTAGTGTCACTCTAATAACCACTCCTATAAATGAACAAAGATTTTAAGCAAAAGATTCACAAATTATTACATTAGCAAAAGTATGTGTGCCACTGTCACAAACAATCCTTTATTAATATTGTTAAAACCCAGTAATAAAATCCAGAAAGGACTAAAATAATTGTAAATACATATTTTAAGCACATCTTATGAAAAACAACTGCAGACCTCAGAGTCAACTTTTGCTGTAAAAGAAACAGTGAATTGTTTTATTGTAGACCCATAGAGAGACTTGTAGGATATTCTGATGATAAGAATAATCTGAGCCCTAAAGGTGTGCTCATTAAAGCACGACCAAGGACCACACCTTTTGAACTGCGCCTCTAGCATTAAGGCATGCAAAGTTTGAGTTTTAAATTCTAATGAAAGGAGGTGCAGAGAGGGCCGCTGTATTTTCTACACCTATGCATTCTTTTTTTTATGTATTTATGGATGCACTGGTCTTGAAAATGGTAACGTAGGAAAAAAAATTTGTCTGGTTTTTGGCCTCAGAAAATGGCAGCTGCTAACATGTGGCTTTTTACTTTTCCCACTTCCGTACAAAATCATATACGTAGCAAAGTGTAAGCCCTCATGTATTTCTAGATAATGTTCTATGAACAAAATGTAATGCAAACCTTTGGCAAGTCTTTTTATCCTTGCAAATGTGTAGAAGCACCATATAGAAGAAGTAGATTTGTGTGACTACAGAAGATCTTCATTTTTTAAGACCTCATACCATGTATGTAGAACAGCTCCTCCAGCTTGCCCTGCTGCCAGTTCCTCATAAGCTGTCCTACCATGCTTCCAGCCTGCCTTAGTGCTATCCAGGCACAGCTGAGATGAAGCTACCAGCTGCCCTTTTCATCTCCCTTGTTAGAAAATTTTCATTTTGTGCTTCTGCTGCCTGGTTCTTCTGAGCAGGTCACCACAAGCCACTAACCACTGTACATCACCATGACCAGGATGCTAAATCACAACCTGAAGAACGATAGATGCTGCCATCCGGGCACCCAGGGCAATGAAACAATGACATTTTCAACCCAAAGGAGCCATATGAACACAATTGTGACTGTATAGATTAAGGCAACAGGGATCATGACCTCTGCATATGCATAGTCTTGCAAAACCATCTCCTAACTTAACCAGCTAGTGATAACCAAGTACTTGAGCAGCCCTCAAGCGTGATGTTATTTATTTACATTCCATGTTAGCTTGAAGTGCAGTGGAGTTGCTGTTCAAATTAACTAGTGTCCTGAGAACACTGGTGGGCTAGTAGCGCTGACAATCCTACTGGGCAGATGCACTCCCAAAAATTTCACTTTATTTTGCTTTTCCTTTCTTTAACATAAACCAAAAAGCACTAGAAGCTGGTGAAGGCTCCAGAATGGATTGCTGCAGTGTTTCTCCTCCTGATGTATTTTCTGACACCACCAAAACCATAAAAAGTTTAAAAAAATAAAGCTCCAGGAACGCCATCTACTGGAACCAACTGAGGCATCTTCCAGCTAGCTGGAAATGAACTTGAGCTCTTCCTGTGTGAACTGCATGTTTACGTAACTTAAATAGAAAGAGCAAATGAACTCATCTAAACTCTGTCAATTTTGTATTCCTCCATTAAAAACAAAAAAAAAACCCCCAAACCCCCCCAACACTTTACAGATTTGGGATTTGAGGTGTCAATCCCAAAAAGCTTGAGCGGAGAAAAAGGGTTACATCTTTCTTGAGTTAGCTAGTGACATTGAGTCTTCAATAAAAGAGTGGAGTATTTTAAAGAGTCAGGTGTACAAAGTAAAGCTGTCCTTGAGAAGCTTTAACTTATGCAACAGGCACTTATGTAGATAACCCAAGGTCTTGTTGTCCTTAGTAGAATTACAGTACTAATCTTTACATAAGGATGAGCTGTCCTGAATAGTATCGCCCTGTTTAAGAGGTACACGCAGGCTTTTATTCCATATCATGCCTAGGCATGGTATACATCCTATCGTTTTCCTTCTCTAAGTATGGCACATAAGAGTAAGAATATCTTAAATAGCAGAAAATTTAAAATAATCTGTGCAATTACCTTTCTGTGTACATTTCTCCCATTGCTGAGAAATAATGAAACCCTAAGCAGACAGAATGATTGTAAACGATTCCCTTGGCAAAGGGAATGTGGTTACAGTAAGTGAACAGCCTGTTGCTGGTTTTGCTTCAGACTTGCTGAATGAACTTGACCAAGTCACTCAGAATCTCTAAATTTCATTTTCCCCTACTCTGAAATGTGTTTCCTTCACAACATGCTGTAAGACTAAATGTCTGCAAAGCATGCTGACTTGTCAGGTAGAATGCTCTAAATGTTTTGTATTAAATTTATTTTTAAAATAAGCTTTTTAAACATATTACAAATAATACAGATTTTGTATCAAACATACTCCGTGTGCTGTTGAAAATGTTTTTTTTTCTGCAGCCTTGTGGAGTTGTTGGGAAAACTCATGAGGCACAAAGAGTAGTTGTCTTCATTTAGCACTAGAATAATAAGAATATGTACATTAATGATATATTACCTTTCATTGAAGTTAATTCTTTCATGCAAATGTGTAACTAACATTTTGAAAAACTGTTCCATGTTGTTATGAAATATAAATTTAGAAGACTATCTGTGCATTTTCATTAAGTCCCTGTGTCTATTCCACCTTTAGACTGGAAAAGCACCTGACATATATTTGTAATAATAGGTGATTCAAATCATGGTGTATTCTAAAGACAGGTACTATCAGTTTCCTATTTGTTTCTTACATTTTTATTATATTTCTTTTATTTTGTCTATATTGCAAATGCAGATCACCAATCTGTCTCATTAAAAATGCAATGAGTGATTTATTTATTTAGATATATATGTACACACACACACATCAGAGGGATCAGAGATATTACAAGTTAAATATTACAATGCTTATCTTCCTAATTTTCTTATTGAACAGTTACTTGAAATTGCTAAGTCAGGGACACATCCATCAGTCTTTATCAACCCAAAGCCACGTCTGAAGTCCCCAAAAATGTTTTGCTTTACAAGAATTTGTGCCTAATATTCTTTTCCTCCCTTTTCTCCCTGGGATGAGTCAGGAAGACCAGAACCTCTACAAGATTTTTTTAAAGCACTTGAGCAAAGCAGAGGGGTTAAGATTTCTTCAATAAGAAGCCACTGATGCAGCCTTGCAAGTCAGGTATCTGCAGGGAAGAGAATCCACATTGCAGATTTGGATTTTTGCCCACATCATTCCAGTAAGTGATACAGCCTAAGATTCTGCATTCAGTCTGCATTAGCATAGATGCAGGTATCTACTTGAATATCCTTTACCTTTAGGAAAGAAAATGCAAGAGAAATGGGCTGCTCCCTTCTCCCGAAACTATATAGAGTCTAACCCCACAAAATACCAAGAAGGGAACTCCTATGAGTAGTCTGAGGTAAGGATGGACATTCGCACTATTGCAACAAAATTCCTCATTTCCCTATTATCTTCAAAACTTTCCACCTCTCTCTTCCTGGAAGTGAAAGGGAAAATTCAGTACTCTGTAGAAAGTCAAGATCTAACCTCATTTTGTGTAATACATAAAATAATAATATTGTTTGCAGCTTTAATCTGGCTTTTACCGAGTTTGAGAAGTAAGGCATACCTGCTTCCTAAACGATTCTCTGTTTTCTTAGCCAAAAACAGTCGGCAAATATCTTTCGCTTCCTCTGTAAAGCTGGCATGTTCAAATTTCACCTCATCTTCCAGAGTTCTTCTTTTAACCTCATCCTTACCGACCTTTTCTTTGAAATCCTTGAATGGTGTTCGCCCAGCAACCATCTCATAAATACTACACCCCATAGCAAACCAGTCCACAGGATAGCTGTAATCTTCCTCCTTCAGGATTTCTGGAGCCATATAACCATTTGTCCCAGCCTATTGTAAACATAAAGACAGATTTACTATACAATGTCAGTAACGAAATGCATACAATTAAACAGACTAGTCTATAATTCTTCCAAAATATTAGTAATACAATTGACATATTTTGTATCTAGAAACTCCATATAACTGATTTTTTTTTTTCCTAGAAACTCTGAGGTATAGCTCTGTTTTAGCACATGGACGGTATCTGTCTTTAAACATCTTAGCATACGGGGAAACTGTCTTAAGTATGCTCTTCAAAGGTGGAAATGCCTATGCAATTTCTACCTAAATGTGGTTTCTTTTTAAATTAATATTTAGCTTGCTTTCTTGTTCCGTATTAATTTTTTTCCTGTTGAAGATAGTGTTGTCGGGTTTGTCCTGTAAACAAAACTAGCAATCAATTTGAAAAGATTAAAAAAAGACAAAACTCAGACAATCGCTGATTCCCTCCCCATTCAGTGGTTATAACTGGTCCAACACAGGGGTCGGCTGCCAATGAGAAAATTCTCATCAAGCCGGTAGATAAGCTGCATGAGGAAGTTCTCATCCGCACTCCCTGTTGGTTTCTGGAAGGAATTACTACCATCAAGGGCCAAGAAAAACTCTTAAAACCATTCTAAGAAAGTAAACCTATGAAAATTATAATTAGTAAATTACATGCGTTCAAGTGAAAGAACGAGTTTGTATTTCGTAACTGAAAAAAGCTCACTGAATGAAGACTACTACTATATGCAGCACTAATGGACCCTTCCCCAGGAGAAGACGTGACCGCTCTTTGAGAGGGAAATCTGCCTGCTTCCTTCCCAGATCAGGCCTGGCACACTCCCCTTGGGGGACAGACTGCACAGTGTTCAAAATAGCTCCTGCTGCCTCTGTCTTGAGGGAGCCGATTCACCTGGGAGGGAAGAGAGGAGGTCAACCTCTCTCCATACGCTTTCTGCTGCACTCTTACGTGACTGAGGATGTGAGATTTCAATCAAAACAGCATTCCCTCAGCCGACCCAACATTTCCTGCTGCATCTGATGCCGCATCTTATATATTTACCAGATTCAGCTAACAGCGGTAACTATAAAAGAGGTTCAAGCAACTTCTGACATATCTTTTTGAAATACTGGGACTGATGTATTAGTAGTATTACAATTTAAAATGAAAAATTATGTTGTGCAAAATCCCACTAAAGGTCATTCAAGATGGTCGTTATTGCTGCTACCAAAACACAAGTAGTGACAGAGTTTCACTTCAAAGCAAAACAGTTAGAAAAACGTAACTAGAACTAGAGCTCATTTGTGCATATTATATTTGTAAAAAGCACAGGCTCAACACATGAATTTTGTTTTACAGGTTTGGGTAACTCCTCTAATTTTTACAACTTTAGGCACAGTATTTCTGAGCCAGGTCTCCCTATAAACTTTGGCTCATGCCACTACACATTATGGCATATACTCTACCGTAAACAATGTGTGCAAGAGGGAACATCTTAGCATCAATTACAACATAAGTCTAAAGGACAGTAAATGAAATCCAGTTTGTTTTCCCTCTTTGTATTTTTTTTACTTTTAGGGATATAGAGCAAAATCCTCCATTTGGTTGAAAAACAGAAATGAGATGAGAAGAACAAAAATATCAGCCAGGTCAAAAAGAAGTTTAAAAGTGAACTGTTGTCTCACTGACTAAAAAAGTGCGGAAGAGCCATGTGGGCACAGAAGTGCAGAGGAGCCATATGGGCAATGCAGCAGCTGACATCATTCCACATGTAATTTGTACTGTTTGCATTGAATTTCTCTAAGTAAAAGTTAATATTGAGAGATACCCTGACAGTATTACATTTTCATGTATGATTACTGCTCCATTCAGAAAGAGGGACAAGTGCTCAAATACGGACCACAGAACCCCAGATCCATCTGGCCTCAAATCATGAAACCTGGAAGGGACCAGAGGGGTTGAAAGCAGTAGAGAAAATTTGGTACAAAAGGATGCCCACAGAGTTCATTGCGGGTTACTGAACACAGACACTAAATAGGCTTCTGGAATATTTTTTGTCCTTTTTTTTTTTCCTTCTCCTTCTGGGAAGCAATAAACATTCTTATTTTTACTGAGATGAAGCTGGGGCACTAATGCCTTGAAGAACTGATGAGTCATATCATCATCAAAATGTATCCTGACAGCACAGTATGGTCCTTCTGATAAGACATTACTTTGCTGCAACTTAGCATCATCATACAGGAACTGGAAAAATCTGACATGCAAGTCAGAATTCTGCGATAATAAATGTGTCTCAAGGCAGTTCCTTTCAGACTGCCTCTTTCCTTCCACTTGTGTTCTCTTCTTCCAAGGTTGTTTTTTCAAAAGGAATGGTTACCAAGTAACTTCAGTCTCTTCCATGTGCACCTTCCACATAACCTTCAGTAAGTCACACCATACAGAAGAACACCATGCTTTGACATGGTACTCATGTTTCTCAAGAACAGAGAAAGCAAGACCATAATCACAGACCAGAAAGACTGTATGACCACAATTTAATAGAAAATAGAGATGGACCAACAACAGCTTCCTTTCAGACTGAAGTGAAAGACTGCGGATGGGGTTACTGTGAACAAGAATTACACTTAAAAATTCTAAATTAGTAGCACTGAAATCTTTTGAGCTGTTGTTATTGACGTGATCCAGCTCAATCTGAGAGAGGTCTAGAAACATATATTGTTCCTCTGGTGTGTCAAACCATTCCAATTCAGAATTTTATGACAGCTGTTTTTCTCATGGAATTTAATAAAAAAATTGAACCTGATCTTAAAACAAATCTCTCCCAATCCTAAAGCTTTTCTACGATTCATAATGAAGGAACAGGCTGAGAAGCAGGAATCTAAACCTAATCTCATAACCCCTGAGACTCAAAACCCACTGAAATATCACCATTTTATAGCAGAAACAAACACATTTCACAAGTAGTCAGCAGTGATGATTAAGGGGGAAGAAACACATGAACAAGCAGGGGGAAGAAATACGTAGATCTCTGCAATCATTATCAAAACAGGAATTTGAAGAAAGGAAGAAAAGAGCTTAAATTTTAGTCTCTTCCACCTACTTCTACATGTGTGGAGCTTTGGCAAAATCATTTGGGAAGAAAGATGATCATTTGGGAAGAAAGATGACAAAGTCCTAAGCATTTGCTGTATCAGGGAACACAAAAAAAGGAATTATTTAACCTCTGGAACTGCAAGAACATACATCTTTCAAATAAAGATTTAATTCTATCTTTGGGGAGTAGACAGCATTAGAGGAAAGCTAAAACCTAACATCGCTGCACTAATCATTATGGAGAACAAGATATGAAAAATCAGATCATCTTTCACGGAAAAGAGATCCTGTGGCAACATGAAAGGCAGCCTCAATGACTCAGGGGAGGTTCACTGAAGCAGGTAAAACAGAAGGTTAGTGAAGGGAGTTTTAAACTGTACAACTCTCACTAGCAGTAGTGAGATTTGAGTAGCAAAAAAATAGTGTATTATGTAGAAAATGTATCCACTGATTCCCAAAGCCAAACTGAAACAGAGTAATGAGTTAAGTTACTCGCTGCAGGCCAAGAGGTAAATAAATATACTGTAAATTTTACTCAAATGTAAACAGGAAAAAAAAAGGACAGAGAGCAAAGGAATTAAAAGATACCACAAAAAAGATAAATGCATCATTTTTGAGGAGGAGTCTATTTTCCACAGGCTGGTATTGAATATTTAATTCAGTTAGGATTATCTGACCATGCCTCAGAATGGATACCTGTAAGTATGGGTTACTGGTATATCTATCACACAAAAAAATCATTAGGTTTGTATGATTTTGTAATTGTTTTCACTCAGTACAATTTATAAGTAACTTCAGAAGTTGTGTATTAACTGAAAAACACTTTTTCTTACTAGATCTTATTGTATATGGATAAATTCCACTCTTTTAATGGAAACAGGGAAACTGAAAAAAACCCCACACTCAGAAAGTTGAATTCCTTTGTTGTCATCTCTACACTACTAGGATGTGCATTGGGTTTTGACCGAGACTATGACCAAGCACATTATTTTCTTCTTTTCTGTAGCATTCCTGATAAGACCAGGAACCATTTGAACATACCTGTTGGCTGCTCAAGTGACCTTACAGAGACACATAAACACATGGAATTACACCTTCACTGACCTGGAAGCATCTAATGGGACACAATTAAAAAAAAAAAAAAAATCACAAAGGAGCCAAAGAATGTTATATTATCCCAACTTTTTTAAAGAAAGCAGAAATCATATGCCATTGCAGAGGCACGCAACTTTGAAGAGTAGTCAGTGCAACACTAGGTATTTTTTGCTTGCTCTCCATCTAACACTGTCTTTTGTGATGATGAGCAGGATGCCTTACTTGCATATGTGGTTTGAAATATAAAAATAGTCATTAAATTTCAGTCAATTAAATTTTAATTGACTTGCTTTTGAAAAGGGTTAACAGATCTACTTCTTCCTTTATTTCTCTATCTTGAGAACAACCCAAAATCCAATTTTTCAATAATCCTCTGAAATGTAATGACCAAATGCTGTCCTTGGATACATTAGTGAAGAAGTTCTGCTAAGTGGAATTGTTGCTTTGAGTGTGGTTTGACAGGACATAGTAGAAATGACTCATCTGAAATTATACAAATATTTCTTTTGTGAAATGTGATCCTGCATAAATTTTTAAAAGGTCACATAATTATAATCTTTTAATAATACAAGATGTGATCCTGAGAAGCACTAAGTGCACTCAGTTCCCAGTACAGTCAATGGGTACTTGGCACACCACAGCTTCGAGCAGAATGAGGCCCACGGTATAAGTACACTCATACAACCTATTCAGATTGCAGTCCTGAGAAAGGAAAGTCCCTTGAACACTGCCATTACCCCAGCTTCTAGCAGATGCAGGGGAGAAAGACAGAGAACCCTCTGGAGCATTCACCAGCACAGGAACAGGCAAATGAGGAGAAACGGGATTTAGATCTCTC